ACATGCCATAAGTGACTACATTTTCCATCTTATCCGTTCTGACTGCTGTATGACTATTAAAAACATAAATGAAATTTAACACTTACCTGACAGCCACACAACTAACCGCTTCATGTCTGGAGAATTGAAACACAAAAGAGGGAACAAAAAAAAGACGATTCTTAAAACATGATGACTGGTTAACGCTCAGATTAACAGCTTGAGCTTGAATTAGCAGAATGAACTGAGCCAAGGTTGTGAGTCCTTATCTGCAAGTCCAAGCTTAAAGTCCACCATGCACTCCATAACCTGCCTCCATCTTTAGTTTACTGCGCGTTTCATTTTTATAGCCAAGAATGAACTCGGGATTTGAATGACTGATTTATGTTCTAGATAAATGTAATCCAGAATTTACAACATCCTGTTCTAAACATATATCATTATGTTTATTTATTTTGTGCTACACATTTTAAGGCATTTAAGAGTAAAAGTCTAAGTGGATGAAGTGAATAATCTGACTTTACATTTGATCAGAACTGTCAAATATAATTGTTTTATTACTGAGTTAAATGCTACAATGGATCCTTAAAGGGATCTTATCGGACTTCCAGAAAGGATATCAAAATACAATGAAAAGTTCACACTTTATGGTTCAAAAACACTTTTCAAATCAGACGTGTGCATAAAATCATTTACTGTTGATAACCAGTACAGATACAACGCAGTAAAAAAGTCTGAAGTTCTACAGCTTCTCTACACAAGATCTTTAAATCATAGGTGCGACAAACCATATGGGTTGAAAAAACTATTTTTTTTCCAAACCAGTAACCATGATCTCTTTTTCCTTGAGATTATAACTCTTTATCAAAATATAAATGAATGCATTTGTTTTTGTATGTACACTCACACCTGCCTCCACCCTCATTTGCAACATTCTGGGCCCTTGAGCAAGGCCCTTAACCTCCACCATCTGCTCCCAAACAGGTCTCCTTGAAAATGAGTCCTCGTGACTCAATGAAACTACCTGTAAAAATAAAGGTTAAATAAAATGAAAAATGTAGACATGACTCCAATAAAACTGTCAATAATGTCAAGCACTCACTAACAGTAGTTTGTCATCAGCATACAGGAGCAAAGATTTAGTTATTATTGGCCTTTGTGCAGATTTTTCCTTATTTTTTACCATAACGTGGGTACTTAGGGGCCTAATTTGGTATAATTATGTTGACACAAGTTGGTCACCATGTTTCGTTTGGTTTTTACAACCAAACTTGTGTTTATTGAAGAGCTTTCTTGGTTAAGGTAATCTTGTAAGAGGGGAAAGTTGGTCAACAATATGACATATATCTGTTACAAGTTCAAGGTTACTTACCTTGGTTTACAGCCTTATACTGTATTTGACAAACTTTGTTTTGTATTTGGTGTAACTTAAAACAAAATAAATACTGTATGCTGATTACTTTTCTCCCAGCTTTGAACTTGACTGTTAAGTCTCATGCTGGCACGAAGGTTCATATTTGAGCACAATCTGAGGACAAAACTCTGCCTCAAAAAGGGAGAATAACCAAAGAGGAAGTGAAAATACAAAATACTATGATAAATGTAAAGGGAAAAATTGACATATGAATTTCTCCACTCCAACACAGGATGTTGTTGCTTCACTCAGGATGAACACAATGTTCTTGCCTTCAGCAGCAGTAAAAAAGTTGGTATTTTACATAACTTTGCGTAATTAGAAACCTTCTTATGTCTCAAATGATTTGCTTTGTAATGTCAATTGTTTAACAGGGGAAAATATAAACATAAATAACAATATACAGTTACAATAAAGTGCAACTGCTTTGTTTTCTTCATTTAAGGACTGTTTGTATCAGGAGAAAGTGCAATTTTTTTAAATTTTATTATGTAAATTTTAATAGTACAGTATTTTTCCAAGTTCCCACTGAAGAGTTTCACGTATTTCTAGACACAGGATTATTGCAACACAGTGGTGAATGGTAAATAGACTGTACTTATATAGCACCTTTCTATCTTAAGATACTCAAAGTGCTTTACAGTATGTGCCTTCATTTACCCATTCACACAATGATTGATTGTTTTTTCAGCTACTCTGTGGCATAATTGTTTTTCTGCTATGTATCAATATCTTGTTGAATGAACAAATTTTAGCCAAGTTCTGATACTCTACACATATCCTGCAACCGAAAGGAACAAAAAACAAAACAAAACAACAGGCCCAAATCACCAACCCTCCACCATCGTGCTTGACAGTAAGGGTGTACAGGTCCTTCTCAAAAAATTAGAAAAATTAGCATATTGTGATAAAGGTCATTATTTTCCATAATGTAATGATAAAAATGAAACTTTCATATATTTCAGATTCATTGCACACCAACTGAAATATTTCAGGTCTTTAATTGTTTTAATACTAATGATTATGGCATACAGCTCATGAAAACCCAAAATGCCTGTCCCAAAAAATTAGCATATCATGAAAAGGTTCTCTAAACAAGCTATTAACCTAACCATCTGAATCAACGACGTAACTCTAAACACCTGCAAAAGATTCCTGAGGCTTTTAAAAACTCCCAGCCTTGTTCATTACTCAAAACCGCAATCATGGGTAAGACTGCCGACCTGACTGCTGTCCAGAAGGCCATCATTGACACCCTCCAGCAAGAGGGTAAGACACAGAAAGAAATTGCTGAACGAATAGGCTGTTCCCAGAGTGCTGTATCAAGGCACCTCAGTGGGAAGTCTGTGGGAAGGGAAAAGTGTGGCAGAAAACGCTGCACAACGAGAAGAGGTGACCGGACCCTGAGGAGGATTGTGGAGAAGGGCCGATTGCAGACCTTGAGGGACCTGCGGAAGCAGTGGACTGAGTCTGAAGTAGAAACATCCAGAGCCACCGTGCACAGGCGTGTGCAGGAAATGGGCTACAGGTGCCGCATTCCCCAGGTCAAGCCACTTTTGAAACAGAAACAGCGGCAGAAGCGCCTGACCTGGGCTACAGAGAAGCAGGACTGGACTGTTGCTCAGTGGTCCAAAGTACTTTTTCGGATGAAAGCAAATTTTGCATGTCATTCGGAAATCAAGGTGCCAGAGTCTGGAGGAAGACTGGGGAGAAGGAAATGCCAAAATGCCAGAAGTCCAGTGTGAAGCACCCACAGTCAGTGATGGTCTGGGGTGCCATGTCAGCTGCTGGTGTTGGTCCACTGTGTTTTATCAAGGGCAGGGTCAATGCAGCTATCAGGAGATTTTGGAGCACTTCATGCTTCCATCTGCTGAAAAGCTTTATGGAGATGAAGATTTCATTTTTCAGCACGACCTGGCACCTGCTCACAGTGCCAAAACCACTGGTAAATGGTTTACTGACCATGGTATTACTGTGCTCAACTGGCCTGCCAACTCTCCTGACCTGAACCCCATAGAGAACCTGTGGGATATTGTGAAGAGAAAGTTGAGAGACGCAAGACCCAACACTCTGGATGAGCTTAAGGCTGCTATCGAAGCATCCTGGGCCTCCATAACACCTCAGCAGTGCCATAGGCTGATTGCCTCCATGCCACGCCGCATTGAAGCAGTCATTCATGCAAAAGGATTCCCGACCAAGTATTGAGTGCATAACTGAACATGATTATTTGAAGGTTGGCGTTTTTTGTATTAAAAACACTTGTCTTTCATTGGTGGGATGAAATATGCTAATTTTTTGGGACAGGAATTTTGGGTTTTCATGAGCTGTATGCCATAATCATCAGTATTAAAACAATTAAAGACCTGAAATATTTCAGTTGGTGTGCAATGAATCTGAAATATATGAAAGTTTCATTTTTATCATTACATTATGGAAAATAATGACCTTTATCACAATATGCAATTTTTTTGAGAAGGACCTGTAATTTGGACAGTCATGCAATCTGTCTCTGTCTGAGAGTATCAACAAAGATACTTTTAGTTCTCTAGTTATATCTGTGACAGCAATTACACTTTCAAACAGACATTGTTTTACTAAATTAACGTTTTCACATCTCTGGTAGTTGTTTTAACTCCAAGTTAACTTCAGTTACCTGCAACTTTTGGTCTCTACAGTTTCATTAAAATAAATGTTGGCAGTGTAAAATGTGTCATGTGCATTTATTTTCACACAACTACCTAACTTTAGGAAGACGTAAGATCTACATTAATTTCCAAAATGTCCTGATACCTAAAACTTTAGGACTAACAAACGGTTGTACATTCTTTTTACATTTATCTTTTAACATTTTTACATTCAGAATCAGAATCAAAATAAGCTTTATTATCATTGTACCGACAGACAGCGAGAATATTTTATTCATCACAAACTGTCTGAATAAATCTAAAACAGATTCACAGAACAAGCAAAACTCATCTGGAAAAACACATTTATACGTGTTTGGTAGAAACATTTCTCTTTAAAGTCTAAATTGCCATGCATGTTTGTGTTAAGTAAGAAACCCGACTGTCCGGCAGTGAGTTAAAAGTTTTTAATATCAGGCTACTGTCGAGTAAATATAATTTATTTAATTAAATACTGACTGAGTAAAAAACTAAATATGTCATTTGTGATAAACTACATTTGAAATGCTGCACTGAATGTGTAGATTTTACTTATACTGAACTACTTAAACTTTGTTTTCGTCAATGAATGGAAAGTAACTGGAACCTCTTTTTATCGTTGCTATTTCTGGAGAGTGGCATCCGTGCGAGCAAAAAGCATGTATGAGTGTTTGTGTGCATGCTACCCCTACTTCTTTCCTAACTACCCCTCTCTTGTTTTTTTTCTACCACTAGCAAAATGCTGAACCATCTTGAAACTTGACAGTTTCTCAATGAAATGAAAAAAAAAAGAGGAGAGCTTGCCGGTGTGCTTTTAAGACTCCCTCCTTGTCATGTTCACACTCAATCATCCTTTGCTTGCAATGCATGGGTGATGTCTGCTGCTGTGAGACTTAGAAGGATGTTGACTCCAAGGATACTTCTAACAGCCTTTGTGCTCCTTATACAAACATCTAATTGTTCTACTGCAACAACCAATGGTAATGATGAGCATTTCTGTGTTACGTGTTGGTTTTCATTACTTTTTGTGATCTCGTCTTGCAAATGTTTGCCATTTTTTATTGGTGCCAAACAATCATCTTTGTGCAGGAAGTGATTTCAGTCCAAATCCTCATAGTTCTCATTAGAAATTAGTAATAAGTCAAGTTTAGCATTTATTTTGTGCAATAGAAATACATTTTTGAATCAAATTTCAATGATATCTTGACTTTAAAATGACCGTAGTGTGCATGCTACTTTGAGTTGCAGCAATGCTTTAACCAAAGATCTGCAGGAGAAAGACGTTTGGTGGTTGATGTCTAAAATAATGATAAACAAAATATAAAATAAAAGTCCAATTAGTGTTTTACACTTCATTCAAGAAGGATGCTAAAACATTTAGAAGATCAGATTTTGTGCACAGACAGCAGACTATCTGCCACGAAGGCATAACAAAAGTTTCACTTTGTGCTTTTCTTTGCAGATTCTCCGTTTACACTCATGAACAAGGCGACTGGATTTTGCTTAATAAAAAGATCTTCCCGTTGCCAAGACATACGCTGGACAACCGGCGACCGTCTTTTTGTAACGTCCAGCAAAAAGTGCATTGGAGCGCAGGGCAAAAGTGTGGGGAGTGAAGTGAGCCAATACGACTGCGACGAGAAAAGCTCACTCCAGAAGTGGGAATGCAAGAATGGAACGTTGCTCGCTCTCAAAGGCCAGCAGTTATTCATTGAAGTCAAAGCTGATGAATCGATCATGCTGTCCAGGACTGTCGGGCCGAATAACTACCTTACAATCTCAGGGACAGCTAGTGGTGCCTGCACGAGAACTTATAGAGGTACAGCGTGAAGTTTGTGAGTGGAAGTGTGCATGAAGAGATGAAAAACACAAACAAGGATGGAAACACTTTGGGTCCTGATTTAGCAGGCGGCTGTGCAACATAATCACTTTTTTCTCATGTCATCTGTCTGCACGTCTCTAGAGCTGATTGCTTGAGTAGAAATAATAAAATGCATTTTTTTTTTTAAATTATAAGTTTGATTCCAGAGCCAACTAAACTTGGTGAACTTTTTGTCCCCCCCTCCAGAACATTACACCATAGGTGGAAATTCCTTTGGTAAGATCTGCATGTTTCCCTTCATGTACAAAGACCAATGGTATGGAGAATGCACCAGGTTTGACTCCAAAGTGAAGCGCAACTGGTGTGCAACTGAAACTAAATACGAGCACGAACAATGGGGGTACTGCCCAACTTCTTGTAAGTTTGCTTTAAATCTCACGAGGTATAAATGAAACGCAACCTTCTGATAAGAACACACAGCAACATGCACCTTTGGTCTAAATACCACACGTTAACCGATTAAAATGCTATGGACCTATTATATTAACATGCAGCTGATGATTAACACAAAGAAAACAGAAAGTTTGTTTTATATCACCAAACGGTTTAGAAGGTTCATTTATTTCTTTTCTGTGACTACACAGCCACTGAGCACTGGACCCAAAACGTTGTTACTGGAGCGTATTATCAGGTGAACATGCAGTCAGCTCTGACTTGGTCCCAGGCTGACACCAGCTGCAAACAGCAGGCTGCGTCTCTGGTCAGCATCGTGGATCCAGCAGAGAAGGCCTTCATCACAGGTAAAGTGCTGCCTGCTGGATGTTTGAGTGCACCACGACTGACACACAAACAAGTTGACCGCTTGTTTCACATGGGTTGAATCAAACAATGCACGGCGAGACAACCTTTTTCTGTAAATATCTCAAATCTCCATAAATTATTGATGCTTTGGGGTAAATACTTTTTGTTTGTTCTTGTTCTAGTTTTTTACTTATCTTGAAATTCTTGTAAAACATTGTGAACGTGCTCCCTAAATCCTGGTGTTTAGCTGAAAACTAAACAAAACACTACACACACAAAGCTCAGTTAACTTTTATCTTAAGCAGAATAACTGGAGATTAACGATTAATTGCTTATCATTTCATTTCACACATAGATCTCAATTTTAATGTCTGTCTACGCTGGAAAAAAAAAAGAGAATAAGAAAAGATTAAACATGTAAAATGACTTTTTTTTTAGACCCTTCGAAATCCTAGAGATCCATTTCCAGTTTTTGTAAATAGCTCATTCTAAATCGCAGCTCAAAGACAAATTTTGTCTTAAAACTCCCCCTCATACTTTAGGTGCTTATCAAACGTCTCAGGTCAATTATCAGCGTAACATGCAACAGCAAAAACACTAACAGTTACGTAAAATGCTGCTTAGGGTTAATTTTTCCTTAAAGCGTTCTGAATCCTGATCATCTTTACACATCTCTGTTAAATTGCAGAACATGTGCTTAGAAATGAAAAAGAGGAACAACTTGTTTATTCTGGTTTCCCCCCTTTTTGTGCCCTCTATGTGACAAAAACACAAACATTCAGCACTGCTGACCTCAGGGAGGAACCGACTCTGGATTGGATTAACTCTGAACGAAGAACACGGCTGGCAGTGGACTGATGGGAAACCTGTCCGTTATCTGAGATGGGATACTGGTACGTTTTTACTCTGAACGTCTAAGTTGTGAAAAAAAAGTAAAGCAACTATTAAGGAAATCCCAAAAGGCCAGCGTGAAGTCTGTAAAAGTGAAAGTTTTTGTTAAGCAGCACTTGTAGCTTTATATTGGACATAAACTGTTTCTGCCAGAGATCAGGCTTTACTAAGACCTATAAAAAAATCTACAAATAAAATACAACATTTGAATGGTGATCGCAAACATGACAGCAACACTGTGAAATAAGTAGATTGTATTTATCAGAACACTCAGATTTATAAACTCACACGTCTCTTTAGCATCTTTTTGATGACTCTTTTGGTTTAACAGCTGCTGTTTTGACTCACTTTGTAGAGTTTCATCTGCAGACGCATAAAGTTTCTTCTAAGAAAAGATCCTGAAAAAGCATATTCTAAGATGGTTAAAGCCGAATGTGTAAATTTGTATGACTCATAAATGAACAATATCATATTCCCAAGTATCTGTGAAACGCATGTTGTCTTATTTGAATTTGGACATCGATCAGGGATCTAAAACTAAATTTACTATGTATTTTTTAATTAAAGTGTTGAAGTGAAAGTCTTTGAAAGGGAACTCCTGCAAAGTGTGAATTTCAAGTTAAATTATCATTTTTATTTTAGGACATCCACTTCCCAATCCGGGACATAGCTGTGCTGTTATCGACTCTGCTGGCCAGTACAAATGGCAGAGTTCATCCTGCTCCAAGAAAATGGGCTACATTTGCTACAAAGGTGGAACGCTGACAGCTCCTCAGCAATGTACAGGACACATTTCTACTTTTTTCATCTTTGCTTTTGACTTGCTGCCGTAACCCTTTTCTAAGAGACATCGATGTGTAATATCAGTGTATGTTTGTTCTTTTCACTAGTTGAACAAGGGTTTTGCTCGAACCATTGGATCCCGTACAACGGTCACTGTTTTTATCTTCAGCGCACTGCTCAGACTTGGTCTGATGCTCAGAGAGAGTGCCGCAAGGAGGGAGGCGATCTCGTGAGCCTCCGTAACGTGGAGGACCAAAGCTTCGTCATTTCTCAACTTGGATATGGTATGACAGTCATGGCAACTTAAAACTTCAACTGCATTACAACACTAAACACGAGACTGTAACACAACATGTGCACATGGGAAAATTATTCTGTTTACAGAAGTTTAGCACACTTTTGCAGTTAGATGTTTCCTGACATCAAACGGGTCTAACTGTCTGATTCCCAATTTATTAGTTGTTTCTAATTTGACATTTACAGTCAAGATTAAAGTGGACTACAATCATTTCCTGATTACCAACCAACCAGACTGCTTTTGTACCATCCATCTCCTGTTGATGTCTTAACTGTGGCTCTTTACTCAAAATAAGCTGTAATCCAGCCAGTGATCAGGGAATAACATGATGGGAATACACGTGACACTGTGCTTTTACTTCAGTGCTACGTAATTTCTTCCCTCCCACTCAAATCATGCAACAAGTTGGAAAGAAAGAGAAAATTCACAGATGCCAACTTTGAAATAATTGTATACATGATTGATTCTTGCATGATTACAAATCTAGAAGAACAAAAGAGTTTAGATGCAGCATGCAAGTTTGTTATAAAGAGGACATTTATTTAATTGAACTTTTTCCACAGCATCCAGTGATGAGCTTTGGATTGGACTGAATGACAAGACTACAGAAGGCCTGTTTGACTGGAGTGACCACTCCACAGTTACCTTCACCAGCTGGGAGTTTGAAGAACCAAACTTCACCACTGAGGATGAAGACTGTGTTCTCATCAGAGGGGAGGTAAAAAACAACAACAACCGAAAGTCATCTTAGCATATGATAAATAACATTATACAACATATACAAAATTTAAAAATTTATTGTGTTTATACTGTGGCTCCAAATTGTTCAGTATCTTTTTGAAGCTATTTGTCCAAATATTTTTGAGTTATTACACTATAGATAGAAATCAGTCCACCAATAAATGTTCTATTTCTTTCAGAATGGGAACTGGGCAGATCGCGCATGTGGTGAAAAACATGGATTTATTTGTATGAAGCAAAGTTCTACCGAAAGAACTGAAGATGAAGTGGAGACAAACATTGGCTGCAAAGCTGTGAGTGCATCATTACTGATGTGTTTGACATAATCCTAAAGTTTACTGTACATGAACAAAAAAGTTTAGGAGATCGTTTAAAAAAACATTTTTTATTTTCAGGGGTGGAAAAAACATGGTTCCTACTGCTACTTTGTAGGAATTGAGACAAAGACCTTTGATGAAGCTAAAGAAGACTGCAAGAGCTCAGACTCCTACTTGGCTGATGTCTCAAATGGGTAAGAATACTTTGTGCTTTTAAAAAAACATGAACCCTTTAACAGTTTTACAAGAAACTGTGGCTAAAAATCCACACAGAAATATTCAAGGATACACTTATTAGTGCCTGACCCCCCAAAATTAACATAAAAAGAGACGTGCTACCCAATTATCTTTTAAAACTCTCTCCTTATCTTCTGCAAAACAAAAAAATAATCTGCTAGATATAAGTTGTAGACCCAAGAAATTTCTAAAGTTTGCTAAATGTATTTACAGTGTGGACAATGCTTTCCTTGTGAGCCTGGTGGGACTGAGACCAGAGAAACATTTCTGGCTTGGGCTCTCCAATCTGAACAACATTGATGTTTTTGCTTGGACCAACTCAGACTCTGTCAGATTTACTCATTGGAACGCTGGGATGCCGGGTACAGTAACTTTTGCAACCTCTACCTTCCATTAATATAAAAACTAAAAGCATTCCATCAAATAAAAGTTGACTATTGTTTCCCCACAACATTAAAGGCTATCAACAGGGCTGTGTTGCCATAGCAACTGGGATTTCGGCTGGACTATGGGATCTGCTACCCTGCACCAATCAGGAAAAGTACATTTGCAAGCACGTAGCTGACGGGGCTGTTGCAACAGTGCCACCGCCGACCCAGACTCCTCCCCAGTGTGCAGAAGGTTGGAATCGAGTAGGAACAAGGAGCGTTTGCTCCAAGGTGAAAACAAAAACATTCAACATACCAACAAAACAATTGACCATCAAGTTGTGCTGGTGTCCTGCACGGATATGTAGGACTCAATGCATTTTGAATAACGCAAACCCAAAACTTAGTTTATTGTGTATATTCACAAACCTAGTACTAGTATCCCCTTGTTTCTACATATTCTACAACGTTTATATCCCATATTTTTAGATTTCAACTGAGATTCATCTTGTCTTGTCCTGAAGTTTTTCACAGGTCCTCGATCCCACGAGAAGACCTGGTTTGAGGCTAGAGATTACTGCAGGATCATAGGAGGAGATCTGCTGAGCATCCACAGTGCAGCGGAGCTAATTGTGAGCCAGTAAGTATGGGTTATTATGTGCTAACAAAAATTGAAGCTGCTTAAAAATATACATAGAAGTTGGGGCTTAATTTGTAAACCAAATGATGCTGAAACACAGCGGGTTGTTATTCAATAACTATTTTAGAGTAGTCTGATCAACAGCTCTCCCTGTGTGAATAAAGCACACTCCATTTCTCTCACACATCTTATCTATCCCATCTGCAATGCTGTTTAATTACATTTTTGTGCTTTTAATCAAATTGACCATGACTGAACTTTTAGGAGTAGAGATTTTTTATGGGTAGAAGCAGAAATGTTTACTTAAAGGGGCAGCTCTGATATGATATTAGGAAGCTCGTAATTGGCTGTTGTGTTTAAAATGAGTGTTTATGTAATTATTTTCAGATTACATAAACAATTTAGGGTATTTTAATTCAAGGCAGTCATATTTGTTTATAACTTTATTATTAACAAGCCTGAGAATTACCGGATCCAAGCAAACAGTTACCAGAATGCATCCCTGTCAATATAAGAGAGTTCCCGGATCCTGTTCCGGCAGGAACCGGCTCAAATTAAGCACAGACAGAAGTATGTTAAATGACACCATTGCTCCCATCAGATGAAATTTAGAGGGCAAAAAAATGTTTGTGAGTTTATGTTTTAGAGGATTCCCTGCTCCAATACACCTGATTCAATGGTTGAATTACCCAGTGATGTTCTGCAGAAGCACCCATTGAGTCAAATCAGATGGAGCAGAGAAGCATTTAGAATATGCAGTGCAATGGCCCTCTTGGACCAGGATTGGACACCTCTGTTCTAGAGTATAAAACCTTTAGGGTTAGGATAGATCAAACACTGGTGGCCAGCCGTTTCACAGTTGTTTTTAAAGCATCTGAAGTTTCTCCCACATGCCTGAAAAGGAAGGAAAAAGTGAAAAATTTTCACTTTGTTGTAATCTAACTTCAGCTCCTTGTGTCTTTAATCCTGCACACTTTAAACAAAGGAGAAGGTCAACATTTTGTTTGATTATATTCCTGCAGTCGAGGTGGAAGGGGTTGGATTGGACTTCACGTTGCAGATCCAAACACTGGTTACACGTGGAGCGATGGAAGTCCGGTTAGTTATTTAATTCTTAAACAAATCCTCCTTGGTTTAGTTAAGAATAAAAAAGTGATTTTCTTTTTTTTTGTTATATTTCCAGCTTAACTTTCAGCACTGGCAGGAAGGAGAGCCAAACAATTTTAACAACGATGAATCCTGCACTGAATTCACATTACACAACTGGGATGAGTCCGGCTCTTGGAATGACCTGAACTGTGAGAGTTTCAACGACTGGCTGTGTCAGATCCGTGCAGGTACAGATGAGAAAACATCAATGTACTTTATTTGAAACATAAAATGTTTTATACTCACTTCAATGCTTGTAGTGTGATTCAAATATGAAATAAATGTTCAAGCCTTGTATGTCAGTTTTGATATACAATTTAAAGGTCAACAAAATACTTTTTGGCTCTTATGTAACATTTGATGTAAAGTCCCCCCACCAACCTCTGCTTCACTTAGTTTTTTTTAATGCCGCTGTCCTTTTATATGCTTCTAGAACATAATAAAACACAGACATTACATTACATTCCACCAATTAAATGTGGAACAGATGTTGGAGCTTAGCAACCACATCTGTCTCTTTTTATGATTATTGTATTATTGCACAAACTCATGCATCTTTTATACTGAAAGAGCCTGTTTTGTTCTATATTTGATGACAGCACAGTATGAAATTTAACTTTTAGTCAAATGTAGGTTGACAGAATGATGCAATTCACGTATCTTGTCATTTTAAAAAATAAGAATTGTTTTATTGTTTGCAGGAGTGACTCCAAAACCACCTCCTAATGATACAGCAGCCGGTAAGCTTACATTGATAAACCATAACACAACTAAAGTGATAAATGTGAACAACGTGAACATCTGCAAATAAATAATCTGGTTGAATTTCAGTCAGGGCTTAGAGTTCATCAAAGCACAGAAACAGCACTGGTGAAAGTTTCTAATGATATTCTCATGGTCTCTGACAACAGACAGGTGTCTACACTGGTCCTGTTAGACCTCAGTGCAGACTTGAATATGATAATGGGATTACAGGAACGGCTCCAAATTGGTTTAAATTATATTTATCTGATAGATTGCAATTTGTAAATGTAAATAATGAATCTTCATCATACTCCAAAGTTAGTCATGGAGTTCCTCAAGGTTCATTGCTTGGAGCAATACTGTTTACCTTATATATGCTTCCATTTGGTAAAGTTATTAAACAGCACAGAATACATTTTCATTGCTATGCTGATGATACACAGTTATAGTTATAGTGTTAGCTCACGGTTTTAATGTTTCTAATGTGGAAGTTTGTGATGCTGCCTTTTCAGACCACATGCCTGTTGTGTTTGACATGCCACTCGTCTGTCGCTCAGTCAAACCTCGCGCTCCTGCACAGCCCCGTCGGGTCATTAACTCCTCCACTGCTTCTCAGTTCTCTGCAGCTTTTAGTTCTGCCATCAGCCCCACAGACCCTGTGGGTCTTCATTCAGATATCGATGCTCTCTCATCTAATTTTAACTCAGCCTGTCAAAACGTTTTAGATGCTGTGGCTCCATTAAAAACAAGAGCTTCCAGACCAAAGCCTGACCCCTGGGCTGATGAGGTCACACGATCTGCCAGACGCCAGTGCAGGAGAGCAGAGCGGAAGTGGAAGAAGGACAAACTACAGGTGTCTTTCCAAGCTCAGAGGGACAGCTGGCGCTTCTATCAGTCCACTGTTAGAGCTGCAAAAAACAAATATTTCTCTGACATCATCTCCTCCAACTCCAGCAATCCACGTGTGCTTTTTAAAACAATCACCTCTGTTCTTAACGCCCCACAATCAGCCAGCCCAGAGAACTCCACTGAAATGTGTGACAACTTCCTGAGCTTTTTTATCAATAAGGTTTCAAGCATTAGAGCTCTCATAAGCCCTCCTTCTTACGACCCCTCCGTCTCTGTCACACGCTCTGCTGTCTTCAGTCAGTTTGAGCTCGTCACCCTGTCTTCCTTAACTGACATCACTGGTCGTATGAAACCTACTGGATCCCCAAATGATCCCATCCCACCTCGTCTTTTTAAAGAGGTTTTTCACACCGTGGCTCCTCATGTGTCCCAAATTATAAATGACAGCTTGGCATGTGGACAGGTACCAGCGAGCTTTAAACATGCAGTTGTGACACCACTGATTAAAAAACCTAGCCTAGACCCCACAGTGATGTCCAACTTTAGACCCATCTCAAAACTGCCCTTCATATCTAAGATCTTGGAGAAAATTGTTTACAATCAGTTAACATCATACTTAAACGACCACAACCTTCTTGAACAGTTTCAATCTGGCTTTAAAACTCACCACAGCACTGAGTCTGCGCTGCTGAAAGTCTTCAACGACATTCTTTTAGCCGCAGACTCTGGTGACTGTGTAGTTTTAATGTTGTTGGACTTGACTGCTGCCTTCGACACAGTTGACCATCACATCCTCCTGTCTCGTCTGGAGAACTGGGTGGGCATTCAGGGTCCTGCTCTACAGTGGTTCAGATCCTATTTGACAGAAAGAAACTTCTGCGTGCGCATTGGTGCTGTGGAGTCCTCTGTAGCCCCTCTCACTTGTGGAGTACCTCAGGGTTCTATACTTGGCCCTCTTCTGTTTTCCCTGTATCTACTCCCTCTGGGACATCTTCTCCGGAAACATGGCATTTCTTTTCATTTTTATGCTGATGACAGCCAAATCTATGTTCCGTTAAAACAGGGCAAACACCATTCCTTGAAACAACTCCTGGGGTGTATGGCAGAAGTCAGAGCATGGATGTCACTAAACTTTTTACATTTTAATGACAAAAAGACAGAGGTCTTGTTGTTTAAGCCTAGTGAAGGCTCCAATATCCATGCTGATCTGGGTCCTTTAACAGAACATCTGACTGAGACAGCAACTAACCTGGGCGTGAGGCTGGACAGTGACTTCAAACTTGACACGCAGATTAAATCAGTGATCAAGTCCAGCTTCTTTCATTTGAGACAACTGGCCAAGGTCAAACCATTTCTGTCACAACATCATTTTCAGATCTTAATCCATGCTTTCATCACAACTCGCCTGGATTACTGTAATTCTCTTTATGTCGGTCTGAGCCAGTCATTACTGACTCGACTTCAGCTGGTTCAGAACGCAGCTGCCCGCCTTTTAACTGGTACCAAAAAACGAGAACACATCACCCCTGTTTTAGAATCACTACATTGGCTCCCGGTTCGCTTCAGGATTAATTTTAAGGTTCTTTTATTTGTTTTCAAATGTCTTCATGGTCTCGCCCCACAGTATCTGTCCGACCTGCTCCAGCTGTACACTCCTTCTCGCTCTCTCAGGTCAGCAGATCAGCTGCTGCTGGTCGTCCCAAGGTCCAACAGGAGACTGAGAGGTGACCGAGCGTTCTCAGTCGCTGCCCCTAAACTGTGGAACGAGCTGCCTCTGCATGTCAGACAAGCTGGCTCACTTCCTGTTTTTAAGTCTTCTCTGAAGACACATCTTTTCTCTTTGGCTTTTACTTCAGTTTGAAATGTTGGTTTTAATGACTCTAAGTTATTTGTTTTATTTTATTTGTTATCTTTATTTTATTTCACATTTTTAACGTGTGGGGTTTTTATGTTTTTGTATGTCCTAGTGTACAGCACTTTGGTCAACAGTGTTGTTTTAAAGTGCTCTATAAATAAAGTTGTATTGTATTGTATTGTATTGTATAGTTGTCTATGAAACCCAATGAATCCAATCAGCTATTTAGACTACAAGCATGTCTTAAAGACATAAAAACCTGGATGACACTAAATGTTCTGCTTTTAAACTCAGACAAGACTGAGGTTTTGGTTTTTGGACCTGAACATCTTAGGAATTAATTGTTCAGTCTTTCTCCCTCCTTGGATGACATTAATCTGGTCTTCAGCTCTAATGTTAAAAATCTTGGTGTTATTTTTGATCAGGACATGTCTTTTATCCCCCACATTAAAAACGTTACTAGAACCGCCTTCTTCCACCTGCGTAATATCACTAAAATTAGATACATCTAGAAATGATGCAAAAAAAAAAAGGTTAATGCATTTAGCACATCTAGACTGGTCTATTGCAACGGTTTGTTATCTGTATGTCCAAATTAAAAGTGATTAACACTTTATGACAGCATTATGTAGAGTTGAAACTTTTTCTAACATTTACTATGTTAATGCTTAATTTTACAAACTGATAAAATAAAAAACACATGTTTTCATGAAGTTATTATAATGATACTTTTGAGACTAATAAATTAACTCTTTTTGTAAAAAAAACAAAACATGTAAATAACTTCAAGTTTCAATCATCATTGAGTTTTAGGACAGTCAATGCTTTTGTATTACAGGCCAACTGAAGGAGTTGAACAATTCTCAGCAGAAATTAATCAAAACAGCTTAAACCTTTTTGATTAGTTGCTCTGAATTTGTAATTTATTTATTTATTTTTCAATTGATTTGAGTGGAGCAGTGATTCAAATTCATTCACAAGTTGCTATGTCTCCAAACCTTTGCAGATTTTAATACGACTACAAACGGTTGGCTCGTGTGGAGAGGAAAACAGTATTTCATTAACAGAATGGCGAAGTCGATGGAAGAAGCTCGTCACTTCTGCCAGCAGAGACACAGCGACCTGGCAGTGGTCAACAGCAAAGAAGAAAACATTTTCTTGTGGAAACAGGCGGGTGTAGTTGCTTTGCCACAACAGCACACGCATACACACACAGCTTAATAACAAAAAAAAAAAGTGATTTTTATCTTGCATTTGTTTACAGATATCCAGAAGCTATGGATCATTTTACATAGGTTTGTCTGTGGACCTTGATGGCTCATATTGGTGAGTAGAATCAAAAACCACAAAAACAAAATAATTACCTGTTGGTTCTACAGGGGAGTTTCCTGGCTGTAATAATAGCTGTAAAACTAGAGAACTACAAACAAATTGCCTCTTTGTATTTACCATTTCCATTTTTTGTCCACACTGTTTTACTTTAATTTTTCTTTCCTTAAAATAAAACGGCCATAATTCAGATTTAATTTTGGTAAATAAATAAATAAAAAGTAATTTTTTGATTTTAATAAAAAATATGCAATTGAATAATTACATATATAGCTAATTGTCAGGTATTTTCTCCCAATAAAAAAATAAAAAAATAAAATAATAATAATAAAATTTCATGATTGAGTCAAACTACAAAAAAATAAATCAATAAAAACCCCAGAATCATGACAGCTTCTTGATGCAAACAGACTTTAAACAGCTACATTCACGTATTTGAGGTTTTGAGAGAAGAGGTGGCGCAGAGGTTAGAGAAGGTGTGTCTGTGATCAGAAGGTCAACAGTTCGACTCCCCCGACCGACAGCATCAAAAATGTGGGTGAGAAAGGTGAAACACCCACACCTGCCTCCACCCTCATTTGCCCTGAGACCTGGAGAAAGACTCTTAACCCCCACCATCTGCTCCCCTGGGCGCCCTAGAGAGCAGCTCTCTGCTCCACACAGAGGGCTGTGGTAGCTCAGTGGTCTGTGGTTGCGTCAGGAAGGGCATTCAGCGCAAAACCAAATGCCAAGTCTTCATGCGAGTAGTTCAGTGTGGTGAACCATGAAGAGCAGCTGAAAAAAAACAAAAAAACTGGGAGAAACATTTATCACCAGGTTTTCGGTTAAAAGACATGGGACAATAAAATAAACAAAAATAAAAATAAAAACAAAACAACCAAAACAAAAAAAAAAAAAACAATCAACTGAAAATTTCTTTCCATGACTTTACATTATAATTTAAACCAACATGTTTGTCATTCAAGGTGGTTGGATGGTACGTCAGTGACGTATAAAAGATGGGACGAGAATCAGCCGAATACCGAGGCCTTCGATGAGAACTGTGTTGCAATGGGTTATCACATGGGTGAGTTAAAACACCACAAGATCATCGATTAAAGCAGGCTTAAAAACCCAAGGAAGATGTTCGAGTGAGAATATTATGAAGAATGTACCACTCTCTGAATCTTTTTTTGTTCCTACAGGTTACTGGCGCACTCATAATTGTGGAAGAGAGCTTCAGTCCATCTGCAAACGAACAAACACGCCTCCTGTGAACACCACAGCTGCCCCGACCGTCCCTCCTACTGGAGGCTGCCAAAAACTGTGGACCAAGTTTGGATCAAAGGTAGAGAAGTCTGTCAGCTTGTACATCTTTATGTTTGCTAGCAGTAAAAAAAGCTTCTTTTTTTTTTTTTTTTTTTTTG